GGACAGGAGCGGGGCCAGGGGCAGGCGCGGGTCGTGGGGCGGCAGCAGCGAGTAGGTGAGCTGGGCGTTGGCGCCCGCGTCGCTGTCTGTGGCGCTGACGCTGCCGATGTGCAGGGCGGGGCTGTTGTTCTCGCGGAGGAACAGGGTGTAGGCGGTTTGGGTGAAGGCGGGGGCGTTGTCGTTGACGTCGGAGACCAGCAGGGTGATGTTGTGCTGGGTTGTCAGCCTGGGGGTCCCCAAGTCGGTGACCGTGATGGTGACGTTGTATTCGGCCGTGGTCTCTCTGTCCAGCGGTCCCTCTGTTACCAGGGTATAGAAGTTTTCCAAGGAAGATTTTAGGAGAAAGGGTAGATTGTCCTGAATGGAGCAATTTATTTTCCCGTTTTCTTCAGAATCAAGATCAGAAACACTGAACAGGGCAACCACCGTCTCCGGTGAATTCTCAGGGATCTGCCTGGTAAGTGCGGACATGGTGACTTCTGGGGCATTGTCGTTCACATCCAGGTCCTGAGTCAGAACGGTGCATTTTCCAGACAAGCTTCCGGCATCTTTAGCCTCAACAATGACCTCATAGGACTGAATAGCTTCGAAATCAAGTTGTCTTTTCAGTCGAATATCTCCTGTCAGGGGGTTGAGCTCAAAGGTTTTCCTAATCTCTTCTGGAGCCTGGAAAAGTGAATAGGAAATCTCCCCATTGACTCCTATGTCTACATCCGTAGCAGAGACCGTGACAATCAGGAAACCTATGGGACTGTCCTCCGGGACCTGTACCCTATAGAACGGCTGCTCAAATTCAGGGGCATTATCGTTGATGTCCACGACTTCAATGTAGACCTGAGCGGTGCCAGACTGCGGCGGAGAGCCGCCATCCAGCGCTGTGAGGGTTAACCTGAGCTCAGGTTCCTCCTCCCGATCCAGCGCTTTGTCCAGCACCAGCTCGGGATATTTCCTTCCATCGCTGCTTCGTTCTCGGGTGAGGACCCGGAAATAGGAGTTGGCATTGATTACATAGTTCTCAATATTATTCCGGCCTACATCTTCGTCCTGAGCGTTCTTCAGAGGAAATGCAGTTCCAGGAGGACTGCTCTCCGATATTTTCAGCACCATGTCTCTTTCCACAAACACCGGAGCATGGTCATTTATGTCTATTACTTGCAGCTCAGCTTGAAAAAACTCTAAGGGATTCGCTAGCAACACCTGGAAACGCAGCACACAGGGCTCTGTGTGATCACACAGTTCCTCGCGGTCCAGTTTCTCATTTAGCAACAAATCCCCGGTCGCCTGATCCAGCTGCAGATGCAGTTTGTTCCCTTTGGAAATGACCCTAGCCCCCCGCCTGGAGAGTTCCCTCTGCCCCAGACCCAGGTCCTTTGCTAAATTGGTTACAAAAGAGCTCCCCTCCGTTTCCTCCACCACAGAATAGCGCCTGGGTTCAGTGCCCGCCTGAGATACGCCCAAGAAGAGAACAAGGAATAGGACTTGCCTTTGTCTGCAAATGGGCTTCCTGCTGGCCTCCATTGTGCTTGCTTGGCACGGCCTCCGGCGAGGTGGTTCCGCGGAGCTGTGCAGAACTCCGTATCTGAGACTGAGTGTTGCACAGGATGCCTCGGAAATATCCCAGTGAGCAGTCCTTTTTAGGGGACCCAGTCCTCCTCCTGTGGCGCCCTAGCTTCCCAGTGGGCTTCCAGGCTCTGCTGGTGAAGTTTGGTCTGTTCATGGAGCCGCAGCTGCGGTTCCGGTTTGTACCTTCTTATCCTGCAGCGCCACCACGCGTCCTCACAGGATAGTACATTTTCTGGGATGAAAATGGATGCACTATTTCTCACTCTTGCCTGTACTGTACAAGTTACAACTCTAACTCTACTATTGGTGGACCTTACGGTGCAGACAATAGTCTGAGGACCATACAAGGGAAATGACATTAGTAGAGACTTTTTACCTTTACTAATGTTGAGTTTGGAGCAAAAAGAAAATTGTTATATATTAGTCTGGCTGAGAAGAAAGAATGTATGCAGGAAAATTCTTTAAATATATAATTGGAGTAACATAGAAAACTTTCAGAATGTACTTTTTTGCCAGGGACTATGGAAACAATTAGTAGCTATCTATGAATCTTGGACAAATTATTTAACTTCTGCCTCAGCTTTCTCATCTGTAAGGTGGACATTATAATATAATGGTACCTATTATTTAGGGTTGCTGTGAGTTCTCCCCACACAGATAAGAAAATGAGGCAGAGACAGGTTAAACACACACACACACACACACACACACACACACACACCAGGCAAGTAATTTGATGCCACCAGGTAGCTGAGTTTACATGAGTCCATTGCCATGACTAGAAAAACACCCAATATTCAAGTGGTAGAAGAATGCTTGAGCAGAATGAGCTCAGATAGAAGTTATTACCTTAAATGATGACACAATGAAAGGCTGGAGAGTTTATCTAATAGAGGTATGATCTGTGAGAGCAGTGGTGATTCTGTATTCAGAAGAATGTCCTATTTTTGTTAACTCCACTTTTCTTCTTACAGTGCCAATTAAAAAAATAACCTTTATTTTGAAAAACTTCAAAACCACAAAGAAGGAGAATAGAATGATGGACCTCCACATACTCATAACTAGCTTCAACAATTATAAATATTTTGTCATAATTGTTTATCTCCCTAACATTCTCACATCCCAAGCTAAATTATCACCCATAAATACTTCATCATATACCTCTAATGTTTAATGGCCTAAAAAAACAACTACAATGCTATATCATGCCTAAGAAATTAGGTTAATATTATTTAATATGCATCTGTATTCACATTCTCTACAATTCTCACACAGTTCCTTGAATCAAGATCCAAACAAGATTAACCACACATTACATTTATTTTATTGTTGAAAATTCCCTCCTCCCCTTTTCCATGTCATTGATTTGTTAGAAGTAAGAAAACTGGATAATTTCATCCTGACAGTATGAAAACAATTTAGAATTTGAATGCTGTGAGAATTTTTTGTCCGTAGACTATATCCCATTAGTAACACATAGTAAGAGTACTATTTTAAGAGTTACCAGCACTGATTTATAATATATTCAGAATACAGCCATGGAAAAATGATCTGGACAAGGTTTAAGAAAGAGCAGTTACAGATTATTATAACAAAGCTTCTCCTTAACCCCCAAGCACCTCTAAATAACTTAATTGTAAGTTGTTTCTTTTTATTATTACATATTTAAAATGATTCTTTTTCTTATACTTTGCTGATTCAGCAGTGTAGTATATTGAATAAGAGGGTTAAAAAAACAAACTTTCAAATTAAAAGAGGAAATGTGTTTTAAAAGGTAGGTAAGGACCACCACAGAAATATTACTACAATGTGAGAAAATTAATAAACTACTGAAGAAATCAAAATTATGTAATATTTCTATTCAGAGTTAATCTTTTCTGTGAAATGAAGGTCATATATTGGGATAACAAGAAAAAAGCAAAAATTGACCTTTCCATTTTTTTACTTGAGATTTAGTTAGATCAATGCTTTAATAATAATCCTATCTAATAAATAAGGAATATGCTAATACATCCTCACACCATTGCAAAGATGACGGCACCCACAGCCAATAAGGAGGGAATAGGCTAATTGACTGTCCTGCCCTCAAAGATGGTGGTGCCCACAGCCAATAAGGAGGGAATATGCTAATTGACTGCCCCACCCTCAGAGATGGAGGTGCCCACAGCCACAAGATGGCTGGCAGGGGAGGGGAGTTGTGGGTGACCAGGCCAGCAGGGGAGGGTAGTTAGGGGCGACCAGGCTGGTAGGGGAGGGTAGTTGGGGGCAACTAGGCCAGCAGGGGAGCAGTTAGGCATCGATTAGGCTGGCAGGGGAGTGGTTAGGGGGTGATCAGGCTGGCAGGCAGAAGCGGTTAGGGACAATCAGGCAGGCAGGCAGGCAAGCGGTTGGGAGCCAGCAGTCCCAGATTGTGAGAGGGATGTCCCAGATTGGAGAGGGTGCAGGCTAGGCTGAGGGGCACCCCCCCCTCCCTGGTGCACGAATTTCATGAACCAGGCCTCTAGTAATTAAATAATTAATTCAGTAAAGCCGGATTATTAGTTTTTAAGAAAATAAAACCACAAGCCAATATATACACTATTACTTCTAATTATAGAAAAGACCGAACAGGAATGTGAATAAGAGAAAAGTATTTCTTCTCCTTAATTATGGAGAAACTTTCAATGTGATACCTAATGCCAGAAAAGAGTACAGCATCACAGCAAGGTCCCAGTGGCAGAAAGATTTAGGAAAGATACTCAATTCTGCCGTTTATTCATTGGTGTTCTTACTGACTTTATTGAACCTCTATGAATATCTACTTGCCCATTTCAAAAATACCTCTCCTCGGAGGTTTACTTCTAAGATTAAAAATGTTAAAATAGTGTGTGATGTATACTCAGTCCTTTCTTAAAACTTCAAAAGATACTGTATAATCTGTGCTTCTAAAACTTAAAGCAAGTATATATCTACAGCACTGAAATCAACTCAGAAAATAAACAAGCAATAAAGTTTGAAGAAAATGAAAATTAATTTACAACATCCAAACATTTATCATTACTTAATAGACTACACAGAATGCATAACTGTTATAGAGATCAAACAGAGACATGAATTCCATGCTTTGTGGAGGGTTCTTAGGGCTAAAGCTAGGTCCTTCCCTGTGTAACCAAACTAATTCTGTGGCTTTAAAAATGCTTGAAATAATGTGAAACCAATCTTCCACAGGTAACACATGCTAACTTTTTTAGGAATGTATTCACAGACACAACACTCGCATTTATTTTCCATTATTTATCAGAAACCCAAATCATCCCGAAATGCAGGATATTCTTCCACTTCCCTCCCGGTGCCCTGGGACTGCAGATTAGAAATAATTGGCTTCAGGAACTTGAACTCGCTAGAGGTTCCTGAGCCTCCCCTCAGACACACCTCATACTGGTAGCTCTGGGACAGTCCCGGTGCCCCGCTGACGTCCACCAGGCGGCCCGGAAAGGGGCCCTCAGGCACCGAGCAGCCACCCACCCAGGCGGCCCTGCTCCGCCTGCACAGCCGCACCGCGATGAACGCCAGCACCGAGAACAGGAACAGCGACGACACCGCCGCCAGCGCGATGACCAGGTGCACGGTCAGCGGGTCGGCCGGCGCCGGGTCGGCCGCCGCTTCGGGCAGCGGCAGGTGGGGCTGCGAGAAGCCGTCCACCAGCAGCACGTGCAGCGTGACGCTGGCCGACAGCGCGGGCTCGCCATGGTCCCTGACCAGCACCAGCAGCCGGTGCCGGGCCGCGTCGCGCTCGCTCAGCAGCCGCGCCGTGCGCACCTCGCCATTGTGCGCCCACACGCCGAACAGCCCGGGCTCCGTGGCCTTGAGCAGCTGGAACGACAGCCAGGCGTTCTGGCCCGAGTCCGCGTCCACCGCCACCACCTTGCTCACCAGGTAGCCCGGCTCGGCCGCCCTGGGCACCAGCTCGGTGCAGGGCGCGGAGCCGTTCTGCAGCGGGTACAGCACGAAGGGCGCGTGGTCGTTGGCGTCCAGCACCTGCACGCGCACCAGCGCCTGGCTGCTCAGCGCGGGGGACCCGCGGTCCGTGGCGCCCACGCGGAACTCGAACGCCGGCAGCGCCTCGAAGTCCAGCGCCCTCAGGGCGAACAGGCGGCCGTTGTCCGCGTTGATGGACACGAGCGAGGCCAGGGGCAGGCGCGGGTCGTGGGGCGGCAGCAGTGAGTAGGTGAGCTGGGCGTTGGCGCCCGCGTCGCTGTCTGTGGCGCTGACGCTGCCGATGTGCAGGGCGGGGCTGTTGTTCTCGCGGAGGAACAGGGTGTAGGCGGTTTGGGTGAAGGCGGGGGCGTTGTCGTTGACGTCGGACACCAGCAGGGTGATGTTGTGCTGGGTTCTCAGTCTTGGGGTCCCCAAGTCGGTGACGGTGATGGTGACGTTGTACTCGGCTCTGCTCTCCCTGTCCAGCGGTCCCTCTGTTACCAGGGTGTAGAAATTTTCTACCGATGGCTTCAGGACGAAGGGGAGATCCTCTTGGATGGAGCACACCGTCTTTGCATTGTTACCCGAATCTTTGTCTCTAATTCTAAAAACAGCCACAATAGTCTCGGCCGAGTTTTCTGCAATGGAGCTTGTGAGTGATGACATGAGTAGTTCCGGAGCGTTATCATTGATGTCTGTTACGTGGACCACCACGGTACATTTTGCAGAAAGCCCCCCACCATCCTTGGCCTGAATAGTTAGTGTGTAAGTTTGCATTTCCTCATAGTTTAATCCGGCTTTAAGATGAAGATTGCCAGATGTTGAATTGATTTGAAACGTTTTGAGAATTCTTTCAGTGGCATGAAAAAATGCATAGACTATTTCCCCATAACTTCCGGTGTCTAAATCTCTAGCTGACACGGAGACAACCAGGGAGCCAACAGGGCTGTTCTCTGGCACCTCCACCTTGTAGAGCGACTGTACAAACTCAGGGACGTTGTCATTTATGTCCACCACCTGGATGCGCACGAGGGCGGTCCCGGATCTGGGCGGAGAGCCGCCATCCAGGGCGGTGAGGGTTAAACTGAGCTCAGGCACCTCCTCGCGATCTAGCACGCGGTCCAGTACTAATTCCGGATAGATAGTCCCCTCCCCATTATCATGCACATTAACATGGAAATAGGCATTGGCGCTGATGGTATAGTTTCTCAAGTTGTTGGTTCCAACATCTGCGTCCTGCGCCCTTTCTAGGAGAAATGCCGCCCCCGGGGTGGTGCTTTCTAATATTTTCAAGGGCATCTCTCTATCTAGAAACACTGGAGAGTGATCGTTGATGTCTCTGACCCATAGTTCAGCACGGAA